TTAAGGTCATGATTAATCTAAAAAAAACCTCCACGGCCCAAGACTATCATACTTGCCTCTATCTCTGCTACCAGGGCTTTCTCCAACAGTAGTGCTCTATCAGAGTAGTGCTGTTTTATCAACTGCGGTTCTGGTATATGATTACTACACCTTTAAGAGCTTGAATACTCAACCCTGGTCTACACTAGGGCTAAGTCTAGACTGGCATGATTTTCCATTAATAGCATTTGCGGAAAAGAGCGTCTAGATTGGCACGGATGCTTTTCTGCAAAAGCACTTTTGCGGAAAAGCGTCCATGCCAATCTAGACACGCTTTTGCACAAAAAAGCCCTGATCGCCATTTTCGCGATTGGGGCTTTTTTGCGCAAAACAAATCTGAGCTGTCTAAACTGGCCCTTTTGCGCAAAAGCTTTGTGCAACAGGACTTTTGCCCGAATGGGAGCAGCATATTATTTCCGCAAGAAGCACTGATTTCAGACAATAGGAAGTCAGTGTTCTTGCGGAAATTCAAGTGGCCAGTGTAGACAGCTGGCAAGTTTTTCCAGAAAAGCGGCTGATTTTCCAGAAAAACTGGCTAGTCTAGACACAGCCTAGGACTTTATTGCAAAACAACCCTCCCCCCAAGGTCAAATTTATAATTGGAGCATCCACACTATATCAAGCCCATTATTTTTAAGTAATAGGCCACAGAAATTGAAATCTGTATTCCTGCTTTTAATCAGGAATAACACTAATCCCAAAATAGCAGTAGCGTGGATGCTCTGGTGCCACTATTTCAAAATAACTACTTCCCAGAGTAATTTGAACTAATTATTCCCCAGGACTTCCTGGGGCTCTAAGTCTGAAGTAGTGTGTGCACATTAATGGAGCCTGCCTTGGACTAATTTCAAAGCTTCCCCATAGTGTGGACATGCTAGTTCAATGTTGTTAAATTGGGAGTTACTAAATCGAATTTACTAATTTCAAAATAGTTTCCTAGTGTAGACATGGCCTGAGTGGCAGAGTTCTAAAGACTTGCCAGCTGGAAGAAACTGCTGCTGCTAGTGGTTGGCAACTGAGCCCAAGAAAGTAGAAGAGCTGGATGTAGTTTATAAATGTGGATCTAATCGTTGTGTTAACCGAGTCCATTTTTCTCGTTACATTTTTGTATTGTTATTCTGATCCAGCTAATGTAATGGAAGGCAATTAATAAAGCGTATTTGGCAAAATTAATTTTGGGAGACATAACACTCAGGAAAATGGAGCCATCTACAGATTGCACATCTCAGGACAGCTGGAGACAGCTTTAAAACTCCTTTCTTGGAGTTACCAGAATGGCCATGAATCTCGTAGCCTTCTGATCCAAATGTAAAGGACCTCTCTATAACCAAACTTCCCCTCTTTTCACAACAACCTGAAACCAATATAACTTGCACCCTGTTATTGTTGGAGGAGAAAAGGAAACATTTCATTATATTGTTACCCTCCTACTGAACAGTAACAGAGATCCACGATTTGGCAGGTCAGTTCCCCAGTGAAGAACCACTGCTTCACCCTAGAATCTTGCATAACTAAAGCTGACATCACATGTCTTGTCAAGACTGAACACTTGCTCACACATTCATCCTTCGGTGTGATGAGATTCTTTCCAAAGAAGTGTAAGCAGGGTCAGGATAAGCTCTACCTGGACATCTGGCGGCAGCAGAACCCTATGGAGAGGCAGAGCCATCGGCGGACCACGTAAGGTGTATCAACCCCCGCCCTCCTCCAGGTTGGGATGGTAACACCCTGCCGGGTGAACTTTTGAACCCTGGGGTGGCACTGACCTGGGGCAGAGACTTTTGGGGTGTCGGACGTTGGAACTTTGGGTGATTTTTGGGTTGCTGGACTCAAGAAACTCTTGGGGTGTTGGACTTTTGGGGACTTTGGGTGATTCGTGGCTGGGGGGGTGGGTCTTTGCTCATGTTTGGTCTATGAATCCAAGTTGTGGTGTTTTCCCAATTCAATGCTGAGGTCGGTTACCTCACGTTATTAAAGATTTGCTGCTATACCGAGGCTCTATGCTTGTGAGAGGGGAAAAATTGCCTCTTTGAAGTGCCCAAGGGTGTATGTAAGATTTCTCAGGTCACTGGTGAGGGCTCGAGCTGGTGTTGTATTACCTTGTTGGGAGGAGACCCCTAGATACTGAACCCGGCCCTTGCTGCTATTAGCTCGGCCTGGCAGAAGGGTTACACAAGAAAAGGAATCTGTACAGGCTGTCATTTATACTCCAGCAACAAGAACACTGAAACACATTTCAAAAATACTTGGAAAAGTATTAGAGAATACTTCTCTAATTCTTTGGCTGTATCTAGAACTGTCATTTTTTTCTTTTGTAATTTTTCATATCTATCAATGGTTTAAGTGCAGTCATTTCACCTTCTCAATAACTGACCCAGGTTAAGTCAATCAAAACTGTGATTCCAATTTCAAGGAGCGTAGAGAGCTGGTAGAACACCTGGCAGATAAGCTGTTACATAACTTGAAGTTCTTTCCTTTGCAATTCATCACTGATTTCATTAACCAATTCATGATAAATCTGGGACCATCAAGACTCATTAACTCTTTGGTATTCTGATAAGTGCTCAGTGACTATGAAATCTTGAATTTTTAGGAGTAATACGTTGGCTTTTTTTAAACATATCTAAGTAACATTCATGTTTCATCACAAGCATTATTCAAACCAGGGTGCTTGGATGACACCTCTGAGAAAAAGGAATCTTCAAATGTCTCTTCAACTTTTTCTGAAGTTCTGACTTTTGAACTGATAAAGCCCAAACATAGGACAGTGTCTATAAACCCAGACTGCAGAATGAAGAAACACTTCCATCAACTGGAAAATAAATAATTTTAAAGCCATTTGGAATGTGTGGGTTTTTTTTATAATACTGATTCTTGGCACCTACATAGACCCTATTACTGAGAGTCATACATTGTTTTTAAAGCAGTTTATTACGTTTAGATGAAGGCATCATAGACCAGTGTTTAGAAGTGTGATGCAGCATTACTGGGTTATATTCTGTGCTGTGTGAAAGTGGGCAGTTCACTTAACCTCTATATGCCTCAGTTTTTGAGGGTAGAAACATGACAGCTCTTAAGCAGTGCACAGCAACACAATACATTGGCACAAGCCAAATTCTGGTCATGGATGTCCATTTTTACAGAATTTACCATGTCACCAATCCAATTCAAAAGCCCCCAAATCCTAATAGAATAAGAAAGGTGGTCTGACTGCCAAACCTGAGCATGGAATACCCTCCAATGCTGCACTTAGTGGGAACCCAGATCTACACTTTGTTATTTGAGCCACTCTTCCCAATAAAAGTACAGGTTGGACCTCCCTTGTTTGGCACCCTCAGGACCTGACTTGTCCCGAATGAGGGAATTTGCCAGATTTGTGAAGGTCCTCTGCCACTGGCCTCCCAGGATGCTCCCCCTCCCTGAAGTTGGCTCTGCTCTGGCCCCACTGCCACTGGGCTCCAGTCTACAGGGCTTGGACTTGGGCTCCGGCCTGCTGGGGTGCCCCAGGATGGAGGTCCCCAGCTGCCACGAAATGGGTCTTTACCCACGAAAGCTTATGCTCCAATAAATCTGTTGGTCTATAAGGTGCCACAGGACTTCTCCTTGTTTATATAGATTCAGAATAACACGGCTACCCCTCTGACTCTTGTCCACTGAACTTTGGCAGTTTCCACACAAGAGCCGTTGAATGACCACCTCCGTTAAGGAGCATGATCCCATAAGGATGAATGGACAGATTATAAATCTCAGGTTTTTAGGTGCTCCCCCCATTACTACAACAGCTGAACCTCACAATCTTTAGTGCCACAGCACCACTGTGAGGCAGGCAAGGAAATGCACTTAATCTTCCTCTACACAGGGAACTGAGTTGAACCTCTTTAGTCCAGAACCCTCAGCACCTGACCAGTTCCAAACCAGAGAACTGCTGAAGGGAGTGGGGGAGTCAATATTGTCTAGTAGCATTACCCACACTTCCACTGCTTACTGGGTGCTTAGAAGACTTGTAGGGGTAAATTAGAGATAAATAACAGCACCAGACACTAAGAGCCAGGGCTGGGGGCTGTAAACAAACTGTATGGGACCGTGGGAAACTTGGCCACACCCATGAAAAGTGGACATCTGGCTCACCAAAATCATGCCAGACCAGGATGTTTCCAGACCAGAGAGGTTCAACCTGTACACAGAGGCTAAGGGACTTGTCCAGAGCACATGGTAGGCTTATGGCAGAGCACAGAGAGGAAATGCAGCTCTCTCCCTGCCCAGCCATGTGCCCTAGCCACCCTTTCTCAGCTAGCCTCAGCCTCTGCACTGCTTCGCTGCTGCTGCCATGCTTCTTTTTGGCTGGAGTGTGCTCAGAGAGCTGAGCCAGTGCCTTTCCTGCAGCCCCACGAGACTGGCTTTCAATCAGGAGATTATTAAAATAACCCAGTTGGATGGGGAGGGAGCGAGCTTTGTACTGGCCTTCTGGGTTTGGAGCTCCTGCTTCCTTACTTCAACCCAGAGGGCCACCGTGGCTTGTTTTGAAATGAAAACGGAGCGTGTCCTGCCATCGCTCCGCTTTATGCCTTGCGCGCCCAGCGGGATGGGCCGGGGAGGTGAATCAGCCGCGGCATGGAAGAGCCCGCTTTGGCAACAGGCCGGTTTCAACACGCCGAAGGGAGGGGAACGGGGACTCCGGTGAAACATCTGTCGCGTCTTTTGGGGGGCGGAGGGAGGCAGTTTCTCGTTACGCCCTGCTGCCCACAGACCGAGACTCTGGGCGGATTGTTTTGCCCTGGGTGGCGTCAGGGCAAGGCAAAGCGTGTCTAGCAGGCGGGTTTCCCGCGGGAGGGGTGCCTTGTGCAAGTCTGGCGAGTCCGTGGGAACAGACTTTCCAAGAGAGCATCAGTGGCAGAGCTGGGGGGGGGGGGGGGGTTGCAGGAAGTCGATTGTGACTGAGATTACAGCAGCTGCTGTTGCTGTTTGGTCAATTTTCTTTGCACTAGCTCCGTGGGAACCTCCCTCTTCTCCGCTGGGGGGCGCTGCTGCCGCCGAAGTTTTCTTGGAGCCTGGAGAGTCTGGCTGGGACCTGTCTAGCATTCCCGGAGCAGACCCGTTAGCCACCGGCGCGCTGGCCGCTGCCGCTAGAAGAGCTTCGTTGCCTGCTCTCCATGCCCTCCGTCGGTCAGCTGAGCGGATGGGGGATTTCTGAGGCTGCGAGGTGCGTGAGTATGCCCCCTGCTTTGCCTCCCCGCTGTAGGTAGGAAGGGCTGGGAGCGGCTGCGCTTGTTAATGACTTTGCACCATGAAGTTAGCCACTCGGGGGGAATGGGATGTATCCTCCTGTTACTGGGGTTGCTTAATATAAAACTTTTTAAAAAGGAGTCTTGTGATCCCTATGGGCTGAGTTAGGCGCAATGCCCTGCCTCTGCTAATCAGAACCTGGCATGTTGCATAATTCTCTCACCAGTCATTTATGTGGTACCACTTTCCAAAAGACCATGGTCCACAGTTTCCGGTAGGTCCCTGAATTTTTAGGTGCACTGGGTACTGAACTCTTCACATTCTTCTTTACTCCCTCCCCCATACACATAAAATCAGTAATACTTTGCAGATGTGGTTGCATATCCCATTGCACAAGTGCTTCCATCTAGCAGCTCTGCCATCAGGGCTGTGCTCTCATATCTAGCCCACAGGTGGGAGGTTAATATAGTAGCGGAGTTACTTGAATGTTATGTTAAAAACTAATCTGGTATTTTGATTTTGTTTTGCACTGAAATCTCTCTCTCTCTCTCTCTCTCTCTCTTTCCAATCTAAGCTAAATGGAACCTTCTTTAAAACTTCAAACTTCTCAGCCTACTTTGTTTTCTGACATGTATTCCTGCTAATGTATCTGTGCATATTAAAAGTATCAAGTATCCAGAGTGGGGAGACTGGCTGTGCAGATGGATTCATACTTTGTCTTGATATGTGGGAAATTCAAAACTCATTCTGTCTCCGGTGTCTCTAAGATGTTTTTTTTCTAACAGTAGATCGCATGAATCATCATCTGCATAACAGTATGGGGGGGATGCAGTTTTAAGCATCATAGTGGAAACATATAAAGTAATTACAGTTGTATATGCAACATACAGATACATCCCCCCTCCCATAAGGATTGTTTAGTATCAGGTCAAAGGGTTTTCTTTTATCAGATTAATATAGGAAAGGACGTGGGTGGATGGGGGAACAAGAGATCCAAGTGTCTCATTGGCTGGGTGACAGTACTTGAAATGAGTAATTAGCCGTCTTTGGTGGGAGGAGGAGTGCTGTCAGTGCAGCCTTTTCTTGGAAATCTGTTTGATCGTACCTGACACAATTCATTTGGGTACATTCTGAAGAGCAGTAGTGTGTGTCTTTTGCTTTTGGAAATATGCGAACCGGGGGAGAATTAGAGTTGCTGAAGATACGGTTTTAGCCATGTCCACAGAGAGGGATAAAGTCCTTTTCCTCTTTCCCCTGCTTCTTTCCGCTTTCTCCTTCAGCTTACACATTAAAGGTTTGAGAAGCCTTTAAAAAGAGGTTTAAAAGCTTATTCTGAGTGTTTTATTGCTGTAGGTGCAGTAAAAAAAATGTGCGTGGTGATGTGAACAAAGGCGGGGTGTCGAGCAGGAACCTGGCATGTGGGAAAAATCAATCTCTCCGATCCAGGCTGAAGCATGCTGGGTGGGTGGGGGATGCTTGCGCTGTCACTGCCTGGGCTGCACCTATTATGTCAAGAGAGGACTTTATTCTTCGGAGCTGTCAATCTATCACACTTCACAGTCACCGCGACTCCCTTCAGCTCTTAAGCTCCCCCACGCAACCATTCTGGAAGGCAGAACTGAAAAGTGCTCTCGGGGTTGTTTGCATGCAAAATAACGAACAGGCATCTACTGGATTTAAGATAAACCTCACCTGTTCAAACTTAAAAAACAACAAATGGTCTAGCAGCACCATAAAGACTAGCAAAACATGTAGATGGTATCATAAGCTTTTGTGGGTGCAACCCACTGCTTCAGATGAATGGGGTATTAAATGTCCAGTTCCAAAATAAATTGTAGAGGATGCAGGTGGGACCTGTTCAAATTAACTTTATACTGTTTAGGGCCCTGTATCTTTGTCCTACCCTGGAGAGCGATGAGGGCAGTCCAGGGGGCAGGAATCTACCCATCCAAAGCTGATTGCAGAACTGTCAACTCTAAACAGCCCAGAATCCTGAGCCAGGCTCCCAAAAAGCATGTGTTGGCCTTAGAGTGCACTTAGGTCATGTGTACAAACTTTTTTCCCCAACCATGCAGGCATTCATTTTTCATTAAATGGAAACAGATTGTCATGAGATCACCTGATTCCAGGAGCTGGGCCTTTAACAAAAACGTGTACTAGACTTGTGAGGAAATCTCAACAGTTGGCAATGCTGCAGTTGCAGGGTCAAGGCCTTTAATTTTAAATACTTTGGCAGCTATGTTATTTGATGCCCTGAATGCACAAATATCCTAAATGGTCTTTGCCTATGAAAGTCAGTTGAAACGTCTCCTAACTGGGAGAAGAAAGCAAACTCTTCAGTGCTTTTGAGAGGAAGTGGGGGCTTGAAGGGCCATCCAATATTGGAGATGTCTGAAAAGGGTCTGACATTCAAAACGCTCCTGCTCCCGCAATTTGAGATGTCCAGTTGGAATTCTACATGCAGCAGAAATTCCATGGGTGGGATGGATTTGACTGTACAAATAGAGGGCTGCATTTTGAATTGGCATCCAAACTCCACTACATTTGGGAGTACTGTATTTAGATCCAGGACTTTGGTGTCAGGCTTGTTGCTAATATTTCCATAAACAAATCATTTTTCTTCAGGGATTATTACTTCATTTGTTTGAAAAAAATGTCAGGAGAATTTAATGCTCAGAAAAAATGCTGGAGCAACTGATGACGAACCACATTTCAAAGACAGCACATGGGTAAACTTCTTCATGCTACCCTGCTTCTGTATTCTCAGGATGCACTGCAGGGGTCACCTCTGGGGTTCCCTGTAAACTGTGTGCTTGAGATTCAAATGCCTCCCAGTTGATTAGCAGAGCACCCACAGGCAACAACATGTGTTTCTATTGGTGGTGCACATCAGCACATTCCTCTGTGCGCATAACAAAATTTATACTGCACATAGATGGGGAAAAATTAGAGGGAGCATTGGTCACCTCCCTAGTAAAGTTCAGACTCCTTCTCCAGTGAATTCAACATCTAGTTTCTCTGCTTGGGTTGCTGATCACGGTACTAATTCCAATATGGAGACCTGTCTACTTATGCATAGGAAACACTAATTCATTTTGCAATGGCCACTAACCTGCTATTGCATGGTAATATTGGTCTAGTGTAAACCTGAGGTGGATCTGAATCCATGACCTCAAGCTGAAAGATGCATCACGTTATCAGCCCTCTGAGTCAGCCAGGCTCCTGGTGACTTTAATAAATCTCATATCTTATCATCTCTTTTCATTAAATGTGGATCAGATCACATAGCATTTCTTTCATGACAAAGTCATTCAGATTTCCATTGAGTTGGCTCCTCTGATAAGTAGCTGCAGCCTTGACAATGCTGAACTGATCTTGAACTTCTGGACATGTACTGGAGCTTTTGACTGAACTACAGCGTCTGGGTTACAGATTGGGAATAAATAGATTCATCTGGCTACTCAGTTTTGAAGATGATTTTAAAGCTAATTTGTAACATGGAAAAGGAAGATAAATTAATATTACTGCAGCAAAAATACAGTAAAGGGCAATCTCACCACTCACAGAAAGCTGCTGAACTATTCATATCATCCATACTCTTCCATACTGTTTCCTCCACATTCTTTTTACTATGAGCATATGCACTATCGTTATGTATTTAGCATTACAGTGCCTTGTAAAGATCAGAGTCCCCATGACAGGCATTGTATACAGACATAAGAAGAGACAATCCCTCTCCTGCAATCAAAACAAAGAAATATTTTGTCCATTTCACAGATGGGGACCAGAGACACAGGGATGAAGTAACTTGCCTCTGGCCACACACCAAGTCTGTGGCAGAGCCAGAAATTGAATGCGGTTCTCCTGGGTTTCAGTGCAGTGCTTTAACCTCCTTCCTCTCTGCACGTCTCTCTCTGTGTATTGCCCTTGTCCTAGGATCATAACTCGCCGAGAAAAGACTATGACGAGATAGCACAGCAGAGGTAGTCTGAGGCCTCTCCCACTTTTGTGGTCGCACAGTGCCCTAGTTCCTCCAGGGCCTTTCACACACAAACACCAGTCCCATCAGCCTCAATTCTGATGACAGCACTGTCTCCTCTCTACTATATTTGTTCCCTCTCTAGTCCTGATGCCTGGTTCAGATCTCTTGTCATGTCATTCTCTGGCACCAAGTTCCATTATTCTCTCATCTCATTCCTCTGTCACCTCAGTGCAGGTCCAGCCAAAGTCATTTGCACTCAGCCATCTTTTTGCACCATTGTTTCTAATGATGTTGATGTCTAAGGGTCACCAAAGACCAAGGATAGCAGGTGGAACAGTCTGTGGAGGGTTGGGGGAAATGGAGCTATGACCACAGCATCTCATGACACTCCAAAGAAAAGTTGCTCTCAGCCAGGTTTACCTGATGGGTGAAGCCCTGCACCTCTTCTCAGAGGGTTCCTGAGAAACTACAGTGAGCTCTGGCCACTGCAGGGCTGGAATTTGCAGCAAGAGCAGGCAAAACCCCCTAGAAGTCAAGAGATTGCCTTTGAAACTCCTGAGAAGAATACCTGTTGTTTGCATGTTGGGACTTGTCATAGTGGGGAAGACAGCAGAGAATGAGAATCCAGCCTTGACTTAAAATAAATACCCTTTTCCCATTTTTTCCACAGAATATTAAGAGTTGTTTCGACCTTGTGACATTTCAGTGAGAAATTCCACTCAGCAAAAATGCAAGTTATCATCCATCTTCTGTGCTTTGCCTTATCTCAGTTTGGGTGGAATATCCCAAAAGAGTCCTTGAAGGCACCTGTAGAAACTCATGCTGGGAGTTAAAACATGTAAAATGGGATGGAATCTGGTCAGCCAAGTTTGATGTATAAAGGATTATTTATCTGGCTATATTCTCAAATGTCTCTACCTTCACCAGGGGATTTTTAAGAGCAGCATCAATTTATTAAACTGGCCTTGATTCAGCAGAAATGATCAGTCATAGTGTGGCTTAATTGAAGCAGAAAAAATAGTACACCTATCTTTATTCAAAGTCCCCATCGATGTACAGTTTACTTGTATAGGCAGTTTTTTCTTGGTCGTCTCCCAGCTAATGTCATATTTTACAGAGGGGAAAAAAATTCATAATTAACAAAATACACGTAATCTGAACAAGCTGCCAAAAGCTATTAAAATTCCAGTCTACATAACAAGGGCTTCATGGATCCCACAGTTTCATAGCCACACAGTCCACACCATGACACAAGACTGAACTCCATAACCTACCTTTTCAGTCTGAACAATATTGCTTCTGACCCTCTGGTTTTAAAGTTTACCCAGGTTCACTGATATCTGAAGCCTCCATATATCTGCAGAAAACAACAGCTCTATGTGATGTGAGTTTCTTCATTCAGGTCAATGTGTTTTGATTCTGAACCCTAATGACAGCACAAATATTAAAGCTGCTGATCATTTCAGCGGAAGTATCCATCTTATTCTTTAACCCTCAAATGCCAGTAGCTCCCAGAATCCCATATCTAGCTACCAAACTTCTCCCCTCACCCCCAACACCTTTTACCATGCAAAGATGCACCGCAACACATGTGCAATATCACAAACTCAGATGGCAGGAGAGAGAAAATTGCATTTAAAATGCATTACATTGCATTTAATTTCAGAATAAATGTCTATTTTCTTATTTAAATGAAACGTCCAGAAAATTAAACGAGTGGTCCTGTAGCACCTTAAAGACTAATAGATTTATTTGGGCATAAGCTTTTGTGGGTAAAAGCCACTTAGGCCAGGTCTCTACTAAAAGGGAAGGTAGGCTCAAGCAGTGCCGTAACTAGCTAATTTTGCGCCTGAGGCAAAAATATAAAATTGCGCCCCTTCATGTGTATATATTCATAGTAATTTTGTAGAGAAAGGGAAAATACATTATTAATAATACATTTATTTATTCTAGTTATGATATCTGCATAAACAATCAGTTAATACATACAGTGGACTTCCGATAATCCAGCACTTTTGGGACCCAGGTGGTGCCAGATTATCGGATATGCTGGACTATCGGGAGGTACTCCGATGGGAGGCTGTGATGGGTCTGCTAGGACCCTTACTGTGTCCAGCGGGGGAGGGGCAGGGGTGGAGGCGGAGGCGGAGGCTCGGTGGGGAACGGCGCGGTGAGGGGCGAACCCAGCGCTGTTCTGCAGGGAGGCAAAGTGGCAGCAGAGAGGGGGTGAGAGGCAAACAGCTGCTTCAAGAAGTTGTTAGTCAATTACAGTACTGCCCAGTGGATCCACAAGTGACAGGCGCGCAATTTATCTTTCCTCTACTGTCTCCGGGGTGGGGTGGGGGGAGATCGGGGGTCGGCAGGGAACGGGTGGATCCGCTGGTGACAGGCTGCTGCTGAAACTGGCAAGAGATCTTCACCCCTCCTTGTCCCTGCTGGACTCCCGATAGTCCAGGATCAAAAGAGCAAGTGAATGAACTCCAGATCCACTCATTCCCTGCTCCCCCCGTATGCCCTGCCCCCGCCGGAGGCAGTAGAAGAAAGATAAATTGCGAGCCTGTCACCTGCGGATCCACCCGCTGGTGACAGGCTGCTGCTGAAACTGGCAAGAGATCTTCACCCCTCCTTGTCCCTGCTGGACTCCCGATAGTCCAGGATCAAAAGAGCAAGTGAATGAACTCCAGATCCACTCATTCCCTGCTCCCCCCGTATGCCCTGCCCCCGCCGGAGGCAGTAGAAGAAAGATAAATTGCGAGCCTGTCACCTGCGGATCCACCCAGCGGTACTGTAATTGACTAACAGCTTCTTGAAACGGCTGCCAGAGCACTTCCGGGTTCCAGTTGGTGCCAGACTATCGGGAGTGCCGGACAACTGGATGCTGGACGATTGGCGTTTTACTGTATATACATATAATTATAATATATCACCATGTCAGGTACTATTAGGTATTTGTTTATAATTGTACTTTGCATGCTTTTAATAAGGCAAACTCATCAATAATTGTGTTTAAATTAATATTATTCGCTACCTCATGTTCTATTGATAAGATGGACATATTTGAGAATCTCTCCTGACCTATGGATGCTTGAAGGTTGTTCTTAATTAATTTTAGTTTACTAAAATGTCTTTCACAAGAAGACACAGTCACTGCCTGGTCCCCTTGATTTGTTTAGCACATTCAAAGCACTTGGCATAGGCGGCTAAGCAGCATGGGCTCCAGTTTTTGGAGGGGAAACCATGACTCCAACAGGCTAAGGGCCTGGACACCGACCCATAGAACCCAGGGATCGTAGCTCCTAGACCCCCTGCTCTAATTCCATACCCCGAAGACCTAGAACCACTTCCCTGGAAGAGGTGAGACAAGACCCAGGAGTCCTGGCTCCCAGTGTGACACCCTCACTTCACCCCCTGCCCCTATACAGGGTAATTGAGCCCCTTCTCCCCCAGCCCTGCGCCCCATGCCTGGACACTGTGCTAGGGCACCCCAAGGTGCCCGGCCTCCCATGCCACTTGGAAGCAGCTGACGCACTGGGCGGCCACCAGGGCTGGTGACTGTTGGATTGCGGAGCGGCAACATGCAGCCTGACATGTAAACTGCAGGCCGGCCGATGCTAATGGGCAAGGGAGGGAAACGGCACTGTCTTAAAATAAGTAGCTGTCTTAATATAATTAGTTTTCTATATTATTCTTCTGCGCCCCCTCAGCTATGCGCCCGAGGCAAGTGCCTTACTCTCCTTGCCCTTGTTATGGCCCTGGAATCAAGGTATGCAACTCTAACTAAGTTAATTACGTAGCTGGAGTCGACATACTTTGTTTCGAGTTTCCCCGCCGTCCCCCCAGTGGGAGGCAAATGGGAGCAAATGCTCCCAACGGCTTCCCTTACTCCTCACAGAAGTAGGAGTATTGGCTGCCAGCGGGGGCACCCTCTGAGTTCGATTTAGCAAGTCTTAATTAGACTTGCTAAATTGAACTCCGGAAGATCAATCACGGCAGCGTCGCTCTTCCATTTAGTGAAGACGTGGCCTTAGTCAGATGCATGGACAGAGGATTAGAGGCCGGGGACCTTACTACAGAATTGGAATCCAACTTATTGAGGCGTGCATGGGAAAAGCAATGATCCGTTTGCCCTCCAAAGGGGCTTATTTTATGCCCGGCTGACAAATCCCTGACTCCCAAGGTGGTTGCTTATTGACTCCTATAAAAATCCTAGCTCTGGTCTCAGTCTTTGATAGGAACTCTACAATTGCCAGGTGCTGGAGACCAAGGGTGCTGGAGACCAAGGGTATATCTACCCTGCAGCCTGGTAGTTCATCTGGAGTTAGCTTGCTAAGAATAGCATTTTGACACTGGGTGAGCTTGGGCTAGCCACCCCAGACTGGATCCAACCAATGTCCCAGATGCAAGCTCCAGCAGCTTGTTTCTGGTCTCTACCCAGAACATGTATTGCTTTGTATATCTTCCTGGTTTATTCCGCTGGAGCTAAATGAATTACACTGGGGTAAATACATGTAGATATACAGACGTCTTAGTTTTCTAACTTTCTGCAATAGAACTAGTTTCTGAGAGCCAGTCTGTATCTAGTTCTGCTTTGGTCCGGATACCTGTCATCAAGTCAATGTTTTACAGTCACCACTCCCGTGAGTAAACATGTAATAATGGTATCTGATTTGGAAACGATGGCAGCTAAGGTTTATGTCCTTTCGCCTAACATTTTAGAAAGAGCTTTGACCATAAAACAATCTGGCATTCTTTCAAGTCGGGAGTGAAATTGAAAGACAAAAAAACATGCAAGCCTTTGGAGCTGACTTAGACACCAATTCTGGGTTTTCATCTAGCCTGGATGTGGATGTTGGGACTTTTTTTTAAAGACTGCAAAGATATGTATAAGGTCACTGAAGGTTTAAAGGCCAAAAGCTGTAGCTCTCTTTACTTTTAGGCTCACAGGGCCAAATTCCCTCCTCAGACACATGTGCAATTCCCCTTTGAAATGGTGGGAACTGCATATGTGAGAGCAGAGGTTAGCTCATTATAAGCAATTTAAAAGGAAACTGAGGTCTTTATGCCACAAAGTGTTTGACAACTGTCCCATTTGGAAGGTCCTGCCTTCTGGAAGCCATGACAGCCTCCCTGCCAGTTCAGTCCCTTTCCTTTATTTCAGTCTCATGAAGGCCCTGTCTCCTTTGCCTTTCACTTGTTTGATATGTAGGCCTCTGGCTGTAGAATGGCTGCGTCTTTCCGCTACGGAGTGACCATCACGGGAGCTATCTTGCTGGTGACAGGAACGCTTTGTTTTGCCTGGTGGAGTGACGGAGAGGTGGGACCCACGTCTAATAGCGATGCTATGGCTGTGCCCCATGGAGAAGCCAAAGTGGTGCCGAACTCCACCTCCTCGAATGCACTACTCAGGTCTGTCAGCTTCTTCTGCTGCGGCATCGGTGGCATCCTCCTCCTCTTTGGCCTTTTGTGGTCGGTGAAAGCAAATGCTCGGGGGATGTCTCGACACTACCAGTACCACTTTTCCAGAGACCTTCACTACTTCACCGTGGAACCTCCTGATAAAAGGACGTACAGGTTAGTGCAGTGTCTGCGACAGCTGACTCCCTCAAAAGGGAATAGTTCTTTTAACTAAGTTTCATTAAATTTTAGGATATCCAGGGCCAGACAATAAGTAACATATCATTAAACTACTGTGTGATAAAGCTGAGTGTTTATATTGGATTTTCTACGTTCAAAGCACTGATCAAACAACCTCCCTCATGAAGCGGATGGGGGGAATAATTAAGTACTACTTACCCCAACTATCGGGATTTTTAATCACGGGTTTTTGCTGTTTCTCTGAAAGCTCCAACTGCTGGACTCAAGAGACTGAAAGACTCTAAGTCTTTCTTGCTTTCTTTTTAGCTTTCTAGTTTGCTTTCTAGCTTTCATTGCTGCAGAGAAAAGCTTGAAAATGTGACCTGAGTTAACTCTACAGGCTCAGAAACCAGAAAGCAAATAAAAGAATCCCAAACTCATGGTTTTAAAGCCAAGCACATGATTTATGGGGCCCAACTTATAACATTTGGGGTTGGCAATACCTTAAACCAGGGGTGGGTAATAATTTTTGATGGGGAGCCACTCCAAGATTTTGGAAAATGATTAAGGGTCTCACTCTTCCATGATATTAATGGAGGAGGTGTGGGGTCTGGGTTGGGGGTTGGGTGCAGAAGGGGAAGTTGGGATAAAGGATTGAGGAGCAGAAGGGGAAGTTGGGATAAGGGATCAAGGAGCAGGAGGGGAGCAGACGGTTGTGACCTGGGGCACTGGACTGCGGTGCCGGGGTTTGGGTTGTGACCTAGGACAAGAGGGGGTTATGACCTGGGTCAGGGGACAGGGCACAGGAGGAGGTGCAGGGGCTTGGGATGTGACCTTGGGCAGGGGATTGGGGTGCAGGGTATGGGAGAGGGTAAGGGCTCAGTAGGGGAACAGAGGGTTTGGCTTATGTGGGGTAGCAGGGCAGGAATGAGAGGGCACAGGGTTAGGGGAGAGAGGGACTGAGGTGTCAGAGGCAGGCTCTGACCAGGAGACTTACCTGGGTGACTCTTGGCCAGCAGCCCAGCAGGGTTCTCAGGCAGCTTCCCCGACTGCCCTGCCCCCGCACAGGCTGCAGGGGCCATGTGCGTTGGTGAATAAAAGTCTGAGGAGAGGGGATAGGGATGCTTCGTGCGCTGTCTATTCTTCAAACAGACAGTTCCCATTGGCTGAAATTGGCCAATGGGATTGTGCTGGGGGTGGGAGCAGCACGAGAAGTACCACTCCCCCCTCCCCCAGGCTCATAGAGAAATAGCTACAGCAGCAGCTTTTCTGAGCAGTGGGAGTGCACATGGGGCAAGCAGGGAGTCTGCCTGAGGCTTCTTGCTGTGTCCACAGACTGGATCCGGTGGCTTCGTGGGCTGGATCTGGCCCCCGGGCCGTATTTTGCCCAGCCCTGCCTTATACATAACTTTTCCCCGCTGTGGGCCACTATGAGATGACTACCATTAAGAAGACATCTCTCTATCCCAGTTCCATATTTTCTCTCTGACAATTCTAGTTCTTGGTTATTTTAACAGATAATATTAGGACTGTGTTAAAACACGGTAGAAATAAGCTCACTTTGTTGTGATGGATGCTGCTGCTGAGATTTATTTCCCATTGGCCACTTTGTGTCTGCAGTATATTTCCTTTTCATAGGTGTAGGACTCATGACATCAATTACTCATGATTGTAATTCCCTGTAGCTGCAAGTGCTTTGTTTCCCACAGGTTGCTTTGCGATTTGACTCTGTCCAGGTGCATGTTTTCTCTTGCTCCACTGATTGTGTCATCAGGAAATGTGGCTGTGATTGTTTTTACCCCGGAAGGAACAACTTCCAGGCTGACTGTCTCGTTGACAGGTTTCAGTTTTTGTATCATGACCCCACGAGCTGAAGACCACAAAGCACAAATTCTTCTGCAAGAATCTGTGCAATTGAACCCCATGGCTGGGCAGAACGATTCTTGTTTCGCTTGCCTGTGCTTCGTTACTGTGACAGGTACAGCTCTGCAAGCTGCTTGGAAGAGTCGTGAGACTCAACAGCTGTGCTTGAGGAACAATGGAATGGCATAAATATTAGGTCTGGACAAACCGATTTGTGTCTTTCAACCTGATCATCCTGCATTGTGTGTGGGAGGAAAGGGATTGCTGTAGGAACGACTTTTGCCGCAGCTTTTTCAGCTGGTGTGTATCAGTGAGTGAGCCTCTTCCAAATCCCCTTGGAGTCTGGTTCATTGCTTAGTTGTTGCTTAGTTGTGAGCCTGTTCCTTCATCTAACCCTAGTTCTTCCTTCCTAAACTTTAGGGCAAGGCTGAAAGTGAACCACTGACTAGGGATGTAAAATCCTGCTCTGTTGGCTAACTGGTTAAACATATTTTTAAACTGGTTAACCAGTTAAAGGGGGGGAGAATAGGGGGTGGAGTGCCGCTGGGCTGGAGTGCTCCCTCTTCCCCCCACTGCAGGCAGGGGCTCCTCCGGCATCCATGCAGGAGCATCCCCTGTCCATAGTGAGCTCCTCTCTGCCTGTGGCAGTTAACCTTAACTAGTAAACCTCCTTAAGAATGAAGCTTTCTGGTTAACTGGCTAAACATTCATATCCCTACCAGTGCTACCACTGACTGTAGCAGATGTTGATTTCCAGGCATGTACCATCACCAGGTGCATGTGGCCTTTCAATACAATAGAAATTACTGGATATAGTGGAGCAGCTGCCCTGCACTGGCCAGAAGGGGTTGAAGTAGGCTGAGCCTGTGCACAGCCCTGGCCAATCAGAGGGTGGCTTGTTGGTGTGGCCCTGTTATAAACAGCTGGTCAGCAGAGCAGAGTGCAGTTAGGTCCTGACCAGCAAGGGTGCAGAACTGGCTCCCAGTGAGGGAGAAGAACCTGGGAAGAGCAGTGCTGAGCAGGAAAGAGACTTCAGCCTGATACCTCCCAGGCTTGATACAAGGGCCAGGAAGGGACATGGGAAAGTGGCCCAGGGAACACTGTGAGCAGTAAAAGGGGGAGTGAAGTAAGGCAGGGCAAGGCTGCCGCCTGAGGCTCCCTGGGCCAGGACCCAGAGTAGTGTACGGGTTTGGGTCTCTCCCTTCCTTCTTGCACCATTGGAGTGTGGCCTTGGCACACTGCAGCTTGCCCCTGAGGTGAGGAGCTAGACATTGGATACTGTCAGCCCCAGTGGCAGGTGCGAGACTGAGGATGGCTGATTGAGCTAATTCCCAGTATCACCAGCAGGAGGCACCATGCCAGTGAGTCTCAACTCTGCTTATGATGTAAGCAAACCTTCAGGCCAACTGGCTCTGCCTGCCTATGCATTGATTGTATCACCATGTGCAGAAGGCCATTTCAGGAAGTTGTCCGTATCTCGCCAAAGCACGTGGCAGTATTTTCCCCTGACCTGGCAGTCCATACCACTAATCTCAGTCATTTTAAATAGAACCAATTTATATTGGGCACAGGGTAAAATAATAATTAATAATAAAAAACCATCACAACTAACTGCTTAAGTGGAATAGAAATGGGCCTGATCCAAAGCTCACTGAGGTCAGCAGAAAGATTCCCACTGACTTTGATGGGCTTTGGGACAGATTCCCTAGCACCCCAAAATGAACATTTAGGGAGTGCCACAAAGCCCATCAAAATCAGTGGGAATTGTTTCACTGACCTTAGTGGGCTTTGAACCAGGCTCTTCATCTGGTTTGAATCTCTGGGACTTGTTTCCAGCTCTGGATCAAACCCATTTTCCCATTAGCGCTCATGCTCTCTGTCTCTTAAGGTGGCTTCAGGTAAGTTTTTGATTTCAAAAAAAATCTTGAAGGGAAAAAAAGTCCTCAGAAGTGCTGTTTTGTATCGCGAGAAAGTCCTTGTCTCATCTACAAATCAACCTATGGGAAAAATAAGTCTAAAAGGAACATAGGCACTTACTGTAAAAATTCTCTCTTGAGGCATAAATTACAGGCTCCGTCTCATCCAGAGACTTTTTGGGAAGCTGTTTAAAATCTGTGGCCAGTCAGGAATTAGTGTGGCACTATGCCAATGCACACGAGCTGAGGTCTGGCTCACTAATTTTGGTCCTTCCCCTGTGCTACTGCCCCCATGATTTGGAGGTGTTTAGCCCAGCACTGGGTTCACCACACACCCACGGGCTAGCAAAGGGAGCACTGCCATTCGGAACGAGCTCATTCCGCTGCAGCAGCTGGGTTGGCTTTTGCATTGGAACCCTTTGA